AGTTGGGGTTCTTGATGACTGTATTAAAGAGTCATTGTGTCCCTCTCCTTTGGTGGTGTCATGCAGGTAGGGGGGCTAAGAAAAAAATGGCACTTATAACTCGCGCTTTATTCTACTCTAGGTTGTTAAAGTTTTTCATATGGTATTATGATTTACAGAGCATGCCTGACAACCCACATCAGAAGCAATACACTAATATCTCAACTCAGAGTATTTCAATGCAAGCAGAAATTGTAATTTAAGACAGAAAATAAGAATTTATGGCAAAAGGATATAAAATGATGACAGGAAGCCTAGAGAGTCAGGTGTGGGGAACAGACTGTACATAGGAAGGCCAGGCACCAAGTCTATGCTGCAGGAGTAAACTGGTATGGCCACCCTTCAACGTGATGGGGACACTCCATCTCTTTACAGGGATTCACTGCTGTTGGATATATCAGCTACACTAAAAATTGTTTCTGTTTGTGTTACTCCATGAGGATTTACAGTTCAGAGAAGAGTAGCCAGATCCTATGCTACATGTTAGCTGTTAAGCAGTGGGGAGAATAGCTCCAGTTTTGGCTGACCTCGACCACATTGTCATCAAGTTTTTCTGACTCACAGCAACCCTCCCTCAGGTTTCCAAAGCTGTAAATCTCTATGGCAGGAGTCCACCCATCTTTCGCCCACAGAGCAACTGGTGGATTCAAACTGGCAACCTTTTAGTTAGCAGCTCTATACATTTTACAGCATATTACCAGGGCTCCTAAGACTCATCAACATTATGCAGAATATAGGAAATCCTCTTAAAAGGAAGGAGACTTGGGTGCTGGTGGTAAAATGAAGAAAGGAAAATTCCCACTGTGACCAGTCCTACATCTTCTTCCTCCGGATTTTCCTTTCCAGTTTTTCTGTCTGTGAATTGTCAATTGTGGTCATAATTCCAGGCTCCTAGGCTTAAAACTTTAGAATGAGTCTCATCTCCCTCATTTTCCCATGTAGTGAATACTGTTCAAGATCTCTTAGATTTGTCTTCTGTCACAGTTACTGTTGTAGTATAATACTTTTTAAATCTATATGCAGATAAGATTATTCAGGAGGCTGGACTCTAAGAGGAGGAATGTGGCATCAGGATTGGAGGAAGATGGATCAACAACCTGTGCTATGCAGCTGACACATCCTTGCTTGCCAAAACTAAGGAGGACTTGAAGCATTTGCTGCAGAAGGTCAAGGACTGCAGTCTTCCAATATGGACTGAAGCTCAATACCAAGAAAACAAAAATTTTCACCATTTGGCCAATTGGCCATGCCATGATAGACGGAGAAGAGATTGGGATTGTTAACAGGTTCAGCTTACTTGGTTTCACAATCAACACTCTTGGCACCAGCAGTCAGGATTTGCATTGGGAAAAATCTGCTGTCAGGGACCTCTCAGAGTACTGAAAAGCAACAATGTCAGTCTAGAGACTAAAGTGCACCTGACCCAAGCCATGATCTTCACAATTACTTGCTATGCATCAGATAGTTAGACAATGAATAAGAATGACAGAAGAATTGATGCCTTTGAGTTGTGGTGCTGAAGAAGAGCATTGAACATACCATGGACTGTCAAAAGAACAAACAGGATTGTCCTGGAGAAGGTGAAGCCAAATTGTTCATTGGAGGTAAGGATTTTGAAGCTCCATTTCACATCCTTTAGGCATTTTGCAAGAAGGGACCAGACTTTGGAGAAAGACATCATGATTGCAAGGATGGAGGAATAGTGCAAGAGAGGAAGACCCTAGAGGAGATGGAATGACACGGAAACTGAAATAATGAGGGTAGGTGTGTCGGAGACAGTGAGAATGACTTAGGATAGGGCAGGGTTCAGAGCTTTTTGTACACAAGGTTGCTATGAGTCACAGTCAACAATATTTTGGCAATAGCATAGACAAGAGAAGACACTAGTATTTGGGAGTCAGACTTCTAGAATGTCAGAGTTGGAAGGGACCTTTAAACTCAAACATCCCAGTGGTCATAGCTAGAAGTGTTCCTTAGACTTTCTGTGGCATTTTAAAAAAATACACATGCTGGCATCCCACTCTACTTCTGACATATATCCATAGATGGTTCTGAGTTGCATACCAGAGTGAGAACTACTGAATCCTAATACTTTTGTTTTAAAGATGAGAAGACTGAGGTGGAGAGGAACTGCCTATCTGAAATCACTTGACAAGTTAACAAAAGGGTCTTGGTGCAGTCTCAGGTCTCCTAGTTCTGGCCCATTGACCTCTTATGCCCTCTCAGAAAGGAATTTCCCTTCTCCTTAAACACTTACTGCAGAGGATCAAAAACTACAGCCTTCAATATGGATTGCATCTAAACATCAAGAAGACAAAAAATCCTTACCAGTGGACAGATAGGCAACATCATGATAAATAAAAGGTTGAAATTTTCATTAATTTCATCTTACTTGGATCCACAATCAACACCCTTGGTAGCAGCAGTCAGGAGATCAAGAGAAATATTGCACTGGGAAAATGCACTGACAGGGGTCTTTCCAAATTACTAAGGAGCAATGAGGTCTATCTGAGGACTAAGGTGTGCCTGATTCAGGCCATGGTCTTTTCCATCACTTGCTATGCATCTGAGGGCTAGATAATGAATAAGGATGACAGAAGAATTGATGTCTTTGAATTGTGTTGTTGGAGAAGAGAACTGAGTATCACATGGACTGCCAAAAAAACCTAAACATATGTGACTTGGGAAAAGTGCAATAAGAGTACTCCACGGTGGTAAGGATGGTGAAAGTTAAGCTCACATATTTTGGGCTTGTTGCGGAAAGGTTATCCCTTGAAATGGATATCATACTTGGAAAGGTAGAAGGTCAGCAATTGAGAGGAAGACCTTCAACGAGATGGACTGACACAGTGACTGCAGCAATATGTTAGTGATGAGGATGGCACATAATAGCACAGGGTTCAGACCTGTTGTTCATAGAGTCACTATCAGTTATACTCAACTAACTTGTTAACAACACCTAACGACAGTTATTAAATGCACAATACTCTTTTGTGGCTCAGTTCTTCATCAGTAAACCAGCCTTTCAGATTAAGAGCTCCACAAAGTGCCCTATTTCTTATAATAGTCAGCTTGATCTTTGAACCACAGCCCTCCCTTGTCAGAACCTGGGCAAAGTGTCCTCAAGAACCAGGGGAAGAATGAGGTTGAGCCATGGACAAAGCATAGCATAAGCCATACTTCTGTGTCTGGCAGGACTGACAGTCTGGGCTCCTGTGCACACACCTGTTTTACTTACCCATTGACCTTTCTTCAGTTCTTGTTTGTCCTCTAGTGATGATCTAGTCCTCAGTGTGGGAATTCATATCTTTGTTCTACTTCCTGACCAGTCATTCTGCCTCAGAATAATTTACCAACAGCCTTAAGCACTGTTTCTGGACAATCTCTTCCAAATCCAGGCCTTTAATATTGTCATGAGAGGCCATTTCTTAGAAAAGGATATCATGCTGGGAAAGGGGATGGTCAGAGAAAGAGGGGAAGACCCTCAACAAGATGAACAGACACAATGACTGACTGTAACAATGGGTCCAGTATATTAAAGATTGTGAGGACGGCACAAGGTAGGGCAAGGTTAAGATCAGTCGTTAACGGGGACAGTAGGAGTCATGGGCCAACTCAATGGCATCTATCAACAATGCCGTCCATCATATTATGTTGTCTTGATTTTGCTCTCCTTACAACTTGTGTTTTCTTAGAAAAGATTTCCAGCACTTGTTTAATATCTTTCCCTCAAAGCTACTTCAGTGCAAAGAAAAAGGTGAGATACTTGTTGCAGGAGAGTCATCTCTCTGCCAGACGGGAGCTCTTATTTCTCCTAGACATTTTAAAATCCAGAAAGGAGTTTGGTGCCTAAGTCTGAGCACCTCACTCAAGTCTAAGCAGGAATGACATGGTCAGAAGAGTCATTTAGGAATGAACTTTAAAAGCTATTGAATGATAGATGGAAGAGAGGCATATAGGGAAACCAGCTGCTACTTCAATAATCTGAATAACAACAGCTGAAACTTTAATTGAATAAAGGGGATGGAATGAGGACAGGATAGGTGGGAAAATGGTTATTGGGGAGAAATGACAGGACAAAGTAACTGACAGATGAAGGAGGAGTGAGAGATGATTCAGTTTGGAGCTTGTGGGACTGGAAGGATGGAATAGGAAACAGTTACTTTGAAAGAGGACAGAAGGCAGTGACTTTAGTCTTGTTCACAAGGGTTGCAGTTATTAATTCTAGGCAGTAGAATACGTTCGACTGGACACAGGTCTTGCCTGTAGATAGCAATGTGGGGGTGCCAACCTGAAGAAAAGCGTGAGATGCATGTGGGTGCGGGAAGAAGGGCACTACAGAGTAAGACAATCGAGGCCGGAATCCAGCGGAACATAATGTCAAGTATAAAAAAAAAAGAAGTAGATTTGAGAAAGGAGTCTGAGAAAGAACTGAAGAGTTAGGGAGAAACAACAACGTAACCACTTAGGAAGAAGAGGCTTCAGAAAGAAGCCTGGGGAGGTGAGGGCTTCCAGGAGGCTGTTACTTTTGTCAGTCAACTACTGAACGAATGAATGCTGGTCGCAGTAGTTATCCCAATCCTTACAAGCCTATTTCCTCCGAGTATAGGCACTAGGGGTGGTTTCTGGGTAATTCATGCACTTTAGCCCTCAGTTAGGAGGACATTGCACGATTAAATAGTTCACAATTTAACACATCCATCACTTACAAATAAATCCCTCAAGTTCGTTTAGTTCTACAAGAAGAAGCTGCAGAGACTGTGGATTGAGTCTGAGACGGAAATATAAACGAGAGTTAATAAATATTAATCGAATTTCACCCCCTGCCAACTGGTCACTGGAAGAACTAACCGGGCGCTCGCTGGAGCCCCACCCCCTCATGAATATGTAGATAGGCCACATCCGCCCACTGCCCCGCCTCTACTCTTCACCCTCGCAACGGACTCTCCCTTCAAACGGGAAACAAGATGGCGGCGGCAGGCCCAAGTACTCGGGCCTCTTCCGCGGCGGCGGCGGCGGCTCTGAGTCGGCGAAGCCGGCGGGGCCGCTGTGACGAGATGGCGGCAGTGAAGACCGGAGCCCCGGGCCCAGCTGCTGGTCCTGCGCTGCTGGTGTTTTCACCACCGTTGCTGCAACCGTCTCTACCTCCAAGGCCAGAGGAGTCGGGTTGCGCCGGCTGCCTGGAGACGCCAGGGGAAGCAGCGGCCTTGCCGTGCGGCCACTCGCTGTGCCAAGGCTGCGCCCAGCGCGCCGCCGACGCGGCGGGCCCTGGTTGCCCTCGCTGTCGTGCTCGCGGCCCGGCCTGGGGCCGCCGTCGGGCCCGCGACGACAGCCAAGCCGACGCGGAGGTGCTGGGAGAGCGCGTCCGCCGTAACCAGCCCGAGCGCTGCCGCCCGCGCCGGGACGGGGGCGCGGCCGCTGCAGAGCCCGGGCCGGAGCCGGAGTCGCGCTTCCCGCCGGCGGAGCCAGGTGGAGCTTCCCCTCCTCCTCTTCGGGGTCCAGAACGAGGCCTGGTTAGGGGGTGGAGCGTCCCAGGCCCTACTCGAGCGGGTGTGCGGAGGTCTCGTGGGGTTGGACCGCGGGCTCTGCCCAGGTCGCGGTGCCTGTGTCTGAATTTTGAACTTCGGCATGAAGTACGGGCACGTTGGATTTGGAGGGGCAGTGAGGGGATCCCGCGCCTTACGTAAGTCAGAAGTTTGGAGTGAGCTTTAGGATCTTGGAACGCGCACGCCCAGTAGAGTGGAATTGGTGTGTAGAGGGAGGGCACGGAACTTTGCTGGGGTCCTGGAGGATCCGAGGCGCGCTTGGTTTTAGCGTTGAGTGAAGAGTGCTACTTGGAGGGATGTGAATCCTGAGCGTGAACGGGTCAAAGAGGAGGGGCCTGAAATGTCCAGGGTTCTTGTTGCAGTTAAAAGTTGAATTTGAGGATGTGGATGGGGGTATGTTCAGACTTGAGCGTAGAATGAGTTGGCAGAAGTTTATGTTTGCAGTCGTCGTCACCCCCTCTCCCGCAATAAAATCTTGAACAAATGGATGCTTTATACAGAGCTTAGCACATGGTGAGGAAACAATAAATGACAGCTGTTTCTGTTGATAAGGAGCCCCGGTGTCATTTCATTACTAGTTGGGCTGCTATTGCAAAGGTTGCCTTTCTAACTCAGGCGCTCTCTACCCCGGGCGGTCTCCTTTCCTGAGGCTTTATCACTGTGAGTCGTCGACCGGGCTGCAGTGGGTATTTCTGTTGATATTAGTACTGCTCTTTATAAGCTGTCGCTCTTAGAGCTCAATCAAAACAAACTGGGTGGGGTTTAAAAGTTTTGGAAAGGAAGGCTGATTGGCCGGCTGGCTAGGCGGCTCTCTCTGTGGCAGTGTGGGTTTGCTATTATCCTGGTAATTTAATTAAAAAATCTGTTGGAGGACTCATGCTTTCAACTTCTTTCCCCTTTCAATCGCCCAAACCTGCCGCTTTCCCCCCCACTTTTAGGCTGAGTTTTGAAGTTGAAAATATCCTGTTCAATGTTACAGTTTATAACGTGGTTATATCTAACACACATATACGAGTTTTTTGGGATAGAGCACAGTCAGTAGCCTCTACACATGTGTTTGATAAAGAGATGCTTAACTAGGAGGAAATTTGCAAGAAATTTAAATCAGGAAAGCCCAGTTACTTACACCTTTTATTTTGGGAAGTCTGCCATGTGTTCGTTTCTGTAGGGAAATGTAGGTATTCCTTGTTTATGAAAGGGCGATCCCTAGAAACTACAGGTTCCAGAATGCAATTTTTTAATTCAGGCAGTCAGAGACACCTGCCAGCATCATCATAGGACAACTTTTATTTTTGGGATTGTGAAAATAGGCATCTTAGTTTCTATATTCCTTATTATTTATATTAATTTTGACAATATCCCTATGCGATAGTTCTTTTCATTTCCATTTTAGAGATGAAAACTGAGGCCTAGAAAAGTTGGTTACTTAAAATTATAAACCCAGTTCCCTCCGATTCCTGCTCGTATCAGAGAAGACCACCTTGAACATTATTTAATTTGTCACTACTATGTGGTAGTGATCTCATATATCAATTAATTTGCCTCACATTCAGAAATGATGGTTGAAGCACAATATCAGCTCTTTCTCTGGTCTTTATTAGTGCTATTGATTATTCTACCAGATAGAATACAAATTCTTATTTCTTAAGCTTAAAGATTTCCTTGTAAAAATCTCTTCTGAAATTTGAACCATGCAGAGAAGAATATGTGTGGATGATTTCTGTTACCGTTTTTTCCTCTTGATATTTTTGTCATAAGTATTACTAGTGGTTAAGACAAATTAAAATGAGATTTTACATTTGGATTTATCACTTATACTTATTTTCTACAAATGATTACTTTGTATACTTATCTGAAGATCATAATGAAAAGTTTTGTGTTTTTTGTAACATTCTTACTGTGGGATTGTTGAGTAGGTACTGTTACATGCTTATTAGGTCAGAACATACAAGAATATTGCAGAGCAGGGCATAAGAATCATCATCTAGTGTAAAACGTTTAAAGAACTGTACATCTTTGGACCTTCTGAGCTTCAGCAGCCAACTCAACCATCCATTGTTGTCCAGTAGATTCCACCTCATTGTGACCCTCCATTGAGTTTCTGAGGCTGTAAATCTGTACAGGAGGAGACTTCTTATCTCTTTCCAATTAATTTGTTGGAACCATTCATTCAGTTAGCAGCCCAGCATATGACACACTATGACTCCAGGGCTCTTTCAGGTTTTCTAAATCTCAAGTTAAATACAGTATATTTTAATACAAAATTTCAGTGGGCAATATATTTACGTGATTGAAACTAAAATTAAGAAAGTATACAGTGAAAATCTTCCCTCACATATCACCCCTCATTTCCCACTCCCATTAAAGATTCTTATTTCCTCTAGGTTTTTATGCACATATGTGAAAATTAAAGTGTATTTTATGTTTTGATATTATATATAGTGTTCTGTAATTTTGTTTATATAACAATACATGATGAAACTTTTTCCATATCAGTTCATAGAAATTCTAGTGGGATTTTTTTAACAGTCTTATGAAATCTTACTGAATGGGTATAATATAGCTTGCCTAACCATCTATTGGTGAACATTTAGATTTCCAATATTTTCCTATTACATATAATTGTACAATTGTTACATAAAAGTGTATGTGCATTTTTATGAAGAGAAAGCCTCTTCAGTTTTCAGTATAATTTCACACTCATTGTCATCAAGTTTGAACCGACTAGTAGCTGACTCTCTAGCAGGTTTTCATAAATCGCATGGAGGAGATTGCCTGCTTTGTCCTGTGAAGCAGCTGGTGTATGCAAACTGCCTGGCTTTGGCTTGGCAACTACTTACCCACTAGGCCACCAGAGTTCCCAAATAATACTCAGAGAGTTGTAAAAAAAGTTGAGAGCCATTATTTTAATTCATTTCCTTCATTCTTCTATACAGAAAACTGAGGCTAGGGTGAGTTAACAGATAAACAAGGCCTAAAAGTGCAACCCATCAATAAGGGCTGAAAGGTAGATTGGTTAACAGTGAAATGCTCGTTCTAATAGGAAAAATGAAAAATACCAGTTTAACAAATAATTATAGTGTACTTTTGTAATGAGAAATTAGAATTATTAGCCATTTTGAAAATAACAATACACGACGAAACTTATTTGAGAATAACAATGCACAATGAAACTACACGTTGATGTAGTTAGGGCAGTAGGTATAAAAGAGAGGTCAGGTCTGCTTTATTATTTTTTTTTCTTCAGGTCTGCCTTATAGTACTAATATAATTTTTTAATAACTGCTGTTTTAAAATGAAATTCTTATAATTTTAAAAATTAATGTTGTTGATGCCCCATTTATCTTTTCATATTGTCATGATAAAGCTGCAAGAATTTGCCCTTACTGAAAAATTTTGGTTGCTCAAGAGATGTTTTTTTTTTGCCAACTACTTGGCTTTCTCTAAAGTTCAGAACTTACATGACCTTTATGTAAAAATTCTTTTTTTATTCTTACATGTATTAGTTGTTTTTGGATGTAATATCATTTCTTGATTCATAAAACCATGTATATGGAGGTTTCACTAGTGATCATTTTGAGATTAATCTACACTTCAACTTTATGGTTTTTGAGGTTCTGTAGCTCATAATATATGTTAACATATAGTATATAAGTATCCTGACCATCTTCGACAGTATTAAGCAGCATTAAATGAGTGCCTCCTCTCTGCTGTTAGGTACCTCTCCAAAGTACTGAAGAGCAATGGTGTCTCTCTGGAGACTAAGGTGCATCTGATACAGGCCATGGTCTTCACAATCACTTGTTACGCATCAGAGAGTTGGACAATGACCAAGGAGGATAGAAGGAGAATTGATGCCTTTGAGCTGTGGTGCTGGAGAAGAGTATTGAGAATACCATGGACTGCTAGGAGAACAAACAGATTTGTCCTGGAAAGGGTTAAACCGGGTGGCTCCTGGAGGCAAGGATTCTGAGGCTCTGTCTAACATACTTTGGACATGTTTTGAGGAGAGACCGGTCATTGGAGAAGGACATCATGCTTGGGAGGGTGGAGGGACGGCGCAGGAGGGGAAGGCCCTCTATGAGGTGGATTGATTCAGTGACTGGGATAATTGGGATGGGAGTGTCAGAAACAGTGCAATTGGCACAGGACAGAGCGGAGTTTAGGGCTGTTGTACGTAGGGTCGCTATGAGTCGCAAGCGACTCGATGGCACGTAACAACAACAACAACAACACTCGTTATATGAATGTTTAAAAGTCATTGTAGTGAGCAAAAAAGTCCATTTCCCCCTGGATGGAGCTTCTATTTTAGATTTAGTTCTGGTCTTTTGATATAAAAAAATTTACTGCACAGGTTTTTACAGGTAGGTTTAAAAGTATATACAATAGCAACACTTAAAATATCATAGATAAGGATTAATGAATTTTAAGAATTAATTTGTGTTTTGATTTGAAATCAAGGATAAACATTATGAATTGTAATATGTTTGAGGTGAAACATGTTATAAGTTAATTTCAGAAATCAAACAGATAAAAATACAATAGTTCCTCATTTATCCCTTCCCTTTATTCCACATCAACCCCATGTTTACTTGGGGTTACACATTTAATGAATTTCCTCTTTCTGAGAAAAGCAAGTAGTTCTGGTTTATTACTCAATTGGCAGACAATGTTTGCTATGTGTGCAGCCTAAATTGCATTTGGGACTAATGAATAATGAAACCATGTGATTGTCATGCAACAGGACAGGAATTTCCCTGGTCTATAAGGATTTGTTTTAGAATGTATAAAATGACTTAACTTGTTGTCCTTAATGACCCATATTTCAGAATTTTGAGTGTCTTTATGTGTTAAACTAATGCAGGAAGTGTTTGTGTTTGGTATTTTCTCCCCCTGAAGTTTATGATGAGATAACCTCACCAT